TCACTAGCATGGCCTCGATCCTGGACGGCGGCGACTACCGGCCCGAGCTCTCCATCCCGCTCCATCACGCCATGAGCATGTCCTGCGACTCGTCCCCACCCGGCATGGGTATGAGCAACACCTACACCACGTTGACGCCGCTCCAGCCGCTGCCGCCCATCTCCACCGTGTCCGACAAGTTCCACCACCCGCACCCTCACCACCACCACCCACACCACCATCACCACCACCACCACCACCAGCGCCTGTCGGGCAACGTCAGCGGCAGCTTCACCCTCATGCGCGACGAACGCGGGCTCCAGGCCATGAACAACCTCTACAGCCCCTACAAGGAGATGCCCGGCATGGGCCAGAGCCTGTCCCCGCTGGCCGCCACGCCGTTGGGCAACGGGCTGGGTGGCCTCCACAACGCGCAGCAGAGCCTGCCCAACTACGGGCCGCCGGGCCACGACAAAATGCTCAGCCCGAACTTCGACGCGCACCACACTGCCATGCTGACCCGCGGTGAGCAGCACCTGTCCCGGGGCTTGGGCACCCCGCCCGCGGCCATGATGTCGCACCTCAATGGCCTGCACCACCCGGGTCACGCTCAGTCCCACGGGCCCGTGCTGGCACCCAGCCGCGAGCGTCCACCCTCTTCCTCGTCGGGCTCGCAGGTGGCCACATCCGGCCAGCTGGAGGAGATCAACACCAAAGAGGTGGCCCAGCGCATCACCGCCGAGCTGAAGCGCTACAGCATTCCGCAGGCGATCTTCGCGCAGAGGGTGCTGTGCCGGTCTCAGGGGACTCTCTCCGACCTGCTCCGGAACCCAAAACCGTGGAGTAAACTCAAATCTGGCAGGGAGACCTTCCGCAGGATGTGGAAGTGGCTGCAGGAGCCGGAGTTCCAGCGCATGTCCGCCTTACGCCTGGCAGGTAAGCCCCGAGGGTCGCCTGAAGCCAAGCTTCTGGGGAGAGGGCTCCGGGGTGCTCGTGGCCCCAGGTCAGCGCGCCTGGCTCCTCTCTCGGTTCCCTCCTGGTCTCCCCGACACACTTCCTGTTCTTGACTTTATTTCTGTTTCCATTTTCTCTTTCCTCCCCTTCTTTCTGCTCTCCCTCTTCTCTTTTTTTCTTCCTCCCTCCTTGTCTACCAGCTTTCATCGACGACCCCCCCCACACACACACACACACTTCATTCGCCCTCCCCTCAGTGTATCAACTTTGCCCTCTCTTTCCGAGGCGGGATGGGATGCCTGGCGTCCACTAGGAGCCCTCTTTTCCCAGGGCTCACAGAGACCAGGTATTGCCCCTATTCAAAACCCTGTGCACTTGAACTCTTGCTCAGACGATACATTTTAGTTTTCCAGGCTGCCTCGTCTCCCTATGTGGAGGCATTTGAGGGCCTTTGCTCTTCGGAAGGGAAAAAGATCTCTCTTTTCTCCTACCCACCATATCAGACAAACTTCTTTGGTTATTGGCAAGAGTCACAGCCTTGCCCGCCGCGCCTGGAAGGTGTGGCCAAGACCATAACAGCGCTTCCTGAGCCCTCCTCCGGCCTTGGCTTTGGCGCGGGGACTTTCTGGCCCAAAGAGCCGACTTGGGCCAGCTCCCATGTCACTGTCCACAGCGAGGGGAGGGTGCAAGGACGAAGGCTGGGATTGCCACATTAACCTCTGGGAGGACGGACGAAGAGAAACTAAGAATGGAGAGAGCTGTGCCTCGTTTGCCAGCCACCCTTGCCCCGCTCCTAGCCGTTCGCTGGGATTTGCCGAGGTTTGGCTGGGCTCGGAAGAGGTTAGGCGTTAGCCGGAAGGGGTGCTGAGAAATTAAGATGCAGGTTAGTTAATGCATCTTGGCCGCGGGCTACAGGCTCCGCCTTTGCATTAAGCGGACGCTGATTGTGCGCGTACCGCGGTGGCGGGGAGGGCTGGCGGCCCGCGGGAGGGGGCGAGTTGACTTGCTGGTTACATTGTTCTGGAGCCGCCTTGGCTCTTTGTGCCTCCTCTAGCGGCCGAGCCGCGAGGTACAGCCCTCTATTGTTCTAGGAGCGCAGACACCTCCTGCGTGGGCGGCGGGAGCTCTAGAGAAAAACGCAGCAGTGGCTTCGCCTGGAGCGCAGTTGCGCGCTTTTGTGCGCAAAGACACAGCTAGGTGCGGGTGGCAGCTGCACTTTCTCTAAGATCCAGCCACAGCCCAGAGGGGCTAAGTGTCCAGGCTCCCCGTTGGGGAAGACACTCTGTACCCTACTACAAACAGGGTTCGGCTTCTCTTGGACTAGGGCGATCTCTCGGGATCAGCGGGCCATCAGGGGGATAAGTCGTAGTGGTCGTGATTTACATGGGCGAGGACGATGGGGCGCGCGGTTCGGAGCCGGCGGAACGCAGCGCGCTTCGGGAGGGGAGAGCTCAGGCTTCCTCTCCCGCGCCCTGGGGCTTTCCTCACACCGCTGAGCCTGGTCTTATGGGGTGCACTCTACAGGCACGGGACAGGGCTGGGGGATGTCACAGGCAGCATTTTCACCCTGGCTTGGGGAGGGGGTGTTTCTGATCTGACCACCTTAGCCTTTGCCGGCTGTTGGAGGATTCCTACCTCCAGCGGCCCCGCAGTGCTGATCGTTGAAGATAAAAAGAAAACTAGCTTTGTCCCAAAGAGCTTCTTCAAATCCGTGAACTCCAGGTACTTTTGCTTAGATTTAGAAGTCTACTTTCTCTCTCTCCTTTAGCTTACCCGACATCCTCTCCTACATTTTTCTCTGATTTGCTCTTGGTTCCTAGCAAAGATAAGCATCGAATAGAGAGTAGTGACGAGAAATATATTGGAGGCTTACTGACAATTCCCAACAGTGCAGTTCTCTTTTGTCTTAGCCCCCCCC